GTGTTGAATATGGATCATAATCAAAAAAATAAGTTTACATTTTTTTTGAAAAGATTTCAAATTAAAAAAATGTATGCTTTATGGCAGATTATAGTTTGCATCAACTTTGTATTATTATGTTATTACATCAGTTTCATCGAATATTTATAAAGATTACTTTTTCTTCATTTAGATTCTGAGAAACTTATGTTTTTTGACCTATTCTTATCACAAGAAAACGAAAACATTATATTAAATATAATTTAGAGCAGAAATAAAACAATGCAAAGACGTATCACATACGAAAAGAGAGAAGTGCAATGAGCAAATCAGTAACTTCTATACTTTTCATTCATTGAAAATAGGATTTAAATCAGTAGAAAAGGGGAAGCTATTATGACATTAAGTTTTCTACTATCCTGCATTATTCTTTTAGGCTTGTGAAATTGAGAGATCAAGTTATGTGATATGGAAAGGAACATAAATTCTGTGCTATCTTTTTTGTAGTTTAAAGTTTTAAATACATTTAAAATTAGTTGAGCTTCAATTAAATTTTGGTACAAACTTCTCTTTAGTTATATTTAGACTATTACCAAATGTCCAATCATATAATTCTACATTGTTTCTGATATTTCTTATTAATAAATTTTAAGAAGCTGTATATATGTACACTCTATTTAATTTAAATTTGATATATATATTAAACCTTAAACCCGCCATTCTTATTTAACATTCCAATCTAGTATATTATAAATATTTATTAGCATAATAATGTATATATTTGAATTGAATTAATTATTAATATATTAATGTATTAATAGAAATTTATAATTTAATAATAATGAGTTTATATATAATTTTAATAGAATTAGAAAAAGATTTAATATTAATATTAATTATGAATTAAAAGAATGATACTAATATCAAATGCCCAAATTCAGAACATGTCAATAATGTAAAATTAGTATGTTTTAATGAATCTTGTAAAGCAGATAGATTATAATGCATTTAATGTATATAAAATGGAATTCATGTTTCTCATGTTTAACATTAATAAGATTTACCATTTTTGTTTGATCATATTTTAAATATTGAAAAACTATGTGAAGACTTAATTATAGATTTGAATAAATAAATGGATATGGCTTATTAATAATTCTATTTATTGATTGGAGGAATTAGATCAAAATATCAGAAATCTAAATAATAATTCCTTAACTTAGATTCTAAATAAATGAATTCTTTCTTTGCACAAAGTATTTAATTCAAATCATTTGAATAAACAAACTTAATATTAATCAAATAATCAATAAAAGATTTTCAAGATTCTATTGTAAAATTATTATCTGATTTAAAATTAACTGAATTAAATTATTATCAAATATCTAATTTAGATATTAATAAATCAGAACAATTATATAAAAAAGGTAATAAATCTATTAAATTAGGTTATAAACTATATTGGGATGATGATAATTATAAAGAGGCAATTAAAATATTTGATTAATCATTAATTTTTAATCCAAAACATTCTCTTTCATTATGGTGTAAAGGTATGATTATTATTTAATGTGTTAGCGGAGAGTTTAAGGATGCTTGGTTAATACAATGAAGCACTCATTTGGGCAGATAAAGCATTGTAAATAGATCCAAAACATTGTTTTTCATTATATTGTAAAGGTATGATTATTATTTAATGTGTTAGCGGAGAGTTTAAGGATGCTTGGTTAATACAATGAAGCAATCATTTGGGCAGATAAAGCATTGTAAGTAGATCCAAAACATTGT